TGAGCTTTTTTTTTTTCTTCTGTGGTGTGTGTGGGAGGAATTCAGGCTTAGAAGAGGGGAGCATGTAGCATTTCCTCTCTGCCCCTCTCTTCTGTAACCCTGCCTTAGTACAGCATAGTGCAAGGGACAGCTGTTACTGTTTGATGCAGTGACTTACAAAAACAGCCTTTGAAAGTACTTCCATTTCCTCTCCTCATCAGCAGTCGCTCTCTTGCCGAACTGTAGTGGCTTCTTCCCTGGTACAAAGTCATGTCTGTTGCATTTAGGATGTGGCATGTTACAGAGCAGAGTTCCTTTGAGGTCACCCAAAACCTGGTTTAATGGTCACAGCCTGGGCTGGTAGCACAGGAACAACTGTGGGAGTGAGTCAGCCGAACAGTGGAACGAAGCACTTTGGGCAGTGGGGGCTCTGGAGCTGAAAGGTGGCTGCCACGCTCTTGCTGGGCTCCAGTTTGCTTGTTTCCACCTTCGACTCTTCTGTAGTTGTTGGTGCAGCAGTTCTGCAGAGCATGCCAGAGTCTGTCAGTGATCTGGGGGCATGTGAATCGTAGAGCAGGAAGCAGAGAATTCTTCTTTTCTTTATTTTTTTGAGACTCTCAGGTTTTACCTGCTTGACCAAGCAATAAAATACACACTGGGTAACTTGTGTTTCTTTTTTTCTCATGAATAAACCAGAATCTCTCTCTGTTTTGGTTATAAAATGACTGTTGGAGTGCCAGGTTGCAGGAAAGGATGAAAATTTTGACTTCTAAAGTTCACAGAAGAAACGATACTGGTTTAAACACTCTCCTGCAGTGGGAGCAATGTGCAGCTGAGATGCCTGGCACCACCATAATTAATCTCCCCTTCGTCCATGAGAGAAGGAGAAGAATTACAGAGAAAGCCAGTTTGTCAGAACAGACAGCCCACTTGATCTGGTAAGAGGGTGTTCTTTGTTACGTGGCAAGTCAAAGTGATACAGACTATTGCATTCAAATAAATAAAGGAAGAATCCTAATAACCTCTTGAGAGACTGTGGAGTTTCCACTCTCAGTTTGCATGGTGAAGAGCCACAGGGTAGGGCAGAGGGGAAGACAGCAGTTGTTTTTGACCTCTCTTAAGGCCATCCTTGCCTTTGGCAGTGAGGATCGAGTTAGTGGGTGGTCCTGATACAGAATAAGAGGACAGCCCATTTCTAGGTGACCCCTCGTGAGAAGTGATGCATCTCTTCCCCACTCCGGTGGCTTTTGACAGCATGGGAAGGAAAGGCAAGATGCTTCAGGTTACTCCCTCCCTTCCTGTGCAGTGTGCTGGCTGGTAGCTGCTTTAGTCCCTCAGGGACTAATTCCCAAAGACGATGACAGAGCTTTGGAGGAGTCCTGGGTCTCTACCACGGACAAGGAGAGCCAAAGCTGCTGTGTTGCTAGTGTGGTACCTCTTTGTGCTTTTCTTGTGCAGCCTCGCTGCATAAGTACCCAGAGACAGGGTTGCTGTGACAAGCTGCAGTGGTTTTTCAACACAAGAAGCGGGGCTTGTTTGTGTTCCATACCCTGACGTGCCCATGTGTTTTTACACAGTCATTTTCCTGCAAGGGAATGGCAGCAAAGTCTTGCCATTCCCTGCTTTGAGGGGAAGTGAGAGTGCAGCTGCAGGCCCGTTTCAAAGTGTCTCACTGAAGCACTGGTACCTGGTTTCGGAGAGGCTGGTCTTGCTCTGCAGACTGCTGGGACTGGAGGGCAGGGCAGGCTGGAGGTGACCAAGGGTGGCTTTGGGTGGGAGCGTTGTGCCTCCCCGTTCCAGGGGGTACATGGAGAGAACTGAAGCCTGCACTCGTGCTCTCTCCCCAGGTCTGGGGGGACACGTCACTAGCGGGGCAAATGCTCAGTCTTGGATCTGAGTGACAGCTTTTCATCTTGGCTTCCTGTGGTTTCTCTCTGCAGAGCAACGTGGGAGAGCTCTGCAGAGTGTCTTGCAGGGCAGTTTGCTCTGGTGTTCAAACTCTACGCAGAAGAGCTTAGCAGTGACCTTGCAGTTGTGAGGACTCTTCGGAGAGGCTCATGTGCTCATTGCAGCTTTTGCATGAGAGATGATGATCTGAGCTCTGGTAAGTTAACTTTCTAACTGAATTTATTTTGAGCCTTTATAGGGCAGGAAAGCAAACCAAAACCTGGTGCTGTTTGGGTGTTACTCAAGCTAACAGCTACTGCAGGCTCAGGTATCACTGCTTTCTTTTTTTCTTTTTTTCTTTTTTTTTTTTTTCTTCCCCTCTCTCAATAGTTGCAGTGCGAAAATACCTGCATTGATGTTTCTGTAAATGTTTCCCAACTTCTGGTTACAATAAAACCCTATTGGGCTTGTTATCAAATCCAGTAGCTGAGCACCCCACGTTCAGCTGTCCAGACGGTCGACTAACTGGCTAAATCTGCAGTTAGCACAAACAACTCTTGTGGGTTTTTGCTTTTTAAAAAAATCCCAGAGCAACTGTTAAAAGTAACCTAAAGATATTTAATTGAGGAACATGCTCTCTTAGCATCATAAGATACACCATCAGTAGAGGACTTCTGTAGAAACTCCTAGTCTGAATTGGTTTTTTTGTGTCTGCCGTTAGTACTTGTTATTTTTTCAAGGGGTATTTAGCATTCTTTTCCTTTTTGTGTTTTTGCATTACTGATTTTTTTTCAGTTGATTCAATTTGGACATCCAGTACAGGGGGAGATCTGTCTTTCTGATTGACAGTGATGCTTTAAAACTAAAACCAGAAAAACCTCACGCTTGTCCAGAGTTCAAAGACAGAACTTGGTTTTATATGAAAACATTTCTAATAATTTAATGAACTCAAAATCCAGTGGAAACTTTGATGTGTGCTTTTCTGTGTTTTTTGGTTTTGTAAACCAAATAACTTTGTACAGGAACAGAAGTTTGTTGGTGCTTTCTGGTTGTCTGGAAGAAGAAACAGCCCCTCTCCCCCTACAAAACCCAACCAACCCAACAAAACAACCCTGGGAAACAAAGCTGAATTTGGAATTTGATCAGACTCATTAATTTTAAAATGGTGGAGAAGTAAATGGTGCTTTATTACTAGAGATGAAAGTGGCTATATACTTGGAAAATATTTGTGTAGTTGTAAACTCTGTCACTTCTATTACCTCTCACAGGGAATGAAAATATTTTCCCGCAGATTGATGTATGTGGTGGAGTCCTGCAGTGCATACAGAACTGTTTGGAACTGGGTAGAAGGCCAGCTTCTAAAACACTTCTAAAATGCTCCACATTAATGATTTATTACTCCACCCCTCCCCCTGCCCTCCACTGTTTCTTACTTCTGCTGTAGCTGAGCTTCAGTGGATTCATGTTACTTGCTGGGCTGTATCTGGGGATGGTGGGCACTGGTGGGTACGAACGTCTCTGTGACAAGCTTCTGCTACTTGACAGCCATTGAGGTATCGGAGTTGCCCACTGCCCACTCTTAAGACATAATGTGGGATCTTATTTCAGATGAGGAGGGATTTAGGGGGTTAAGTGAGACTACAGGGGCTGAAAGCAAATGACATTAGCGTAGCACCATGGTGCACGCAGCTCCTGTACCTTTGGTAGGGCCTTGTAGCCATCCTGCCAGGGGCCCGAGTGGAATCACGTTCAGGCAGCCCTTCAGCAAGGCTCGTTTGCCACCTCCCAGCAGCCCTTACTGTGCTTGTCTGGCGAGAAGCAGCAGCTAATCAGAGCCGTTTTCCGTCCTGCCCCGGTAGTGATTTTATCTTTCCTCAGTTGCAGCACTATGCTTTGAACCTAGAAAAGAGAGATGTCGGTGGCTCTTGCTCTGGCAAAACTGTGAGATAAAAGCTGTTTCAAGTCCTACACTGCTTAAAGGCTTAGCCATGCCTGGTTTTGTATTAATTTTTCTGTGTGCGTGTGCAAGCCTTTTGCTTTTGGGTGAAAGACCCATGTAAGCAGATACCTGTGCTTGCCTACTTAAAGTGAAACTGTATTTTTTTTTTTTTTTTCCTTTCTAAGCTTCCAGTTATCATCTTGGGTGCTTTTGACTTCATTAGATAAACAGCTATTGGGAGGAAGTGTGATTTCAGAGTTTCCTTTGGAAAGCACCTGACAACCTTAGTATTTCTGTGCTCTCAATGGCTCAACTTTAGGAACTTTGTGCCTCTTGTAGCGGGGTTTAATTTCTCTGCTGCCTTTAAGGACTTCTGTTTAGGTGTCTGTGTTTAGCTTACTCAGATTTCTTTTATCTTTGGAAACTGCACTGCTGGAGTGCAGTTTATTGCTTATGTGATGTGAGGGACCTAGATGAGAGGAGTCCTGCTTGCACAGTGCCTTTTTTCTATATTTCAAACACATAAACTAGTCCTTTAGGCACCCTTTGTAACTGAGATGAGTGGTGGTTTCCCTCTGCAATGTGCCTGCAGAGTAGGTTTAGGGTGCAGTAAATTAATCCAGTAGCTTACATCGAGCCTTCCCACTTGTATATGAATGTCAACAGAGGTGGGATGGGAAGGATGGGAAAAAACCCTGTTTCTCTCAGATCATCTGCAGGCATGTTATGAGGTCTTACAGTGACCTAAGACTGTATCCTGTACTAGGTACTCCCCTGCAAATGAATGTTTGTTCCAAGAGACCTGGCACATCTTGTCTGAAGTGCTGAACCCTTCCATTTACTGTTATGTTGCAGTTGTCTGTGCTACTGATGATCCACCCTGAACCACTCTGAAAGGGGGGTGG